TATTAAAAGAGCAAAAGGAAAAGAACAATGTAAAATGGACACAAAAATATGAAAGAAACCAAAACGGTAAAAGAAAGCAAGCAAGAACAACAAGAACGAAAAAAAGTTAGCGAAATAAATAAAATAAAGACATGTAAAATATATAATATATATAAAATATATAAAACTGAGGAGGAAGATAAAGATAAGACAAGCATAGACTGAATAAAAAAAGGCAAAATCAAAAGAATGGCAATGAAGGAAGAACTAAGTCCAAAGAAAGAAAGAAGGAAAGAGAGCGAAAGATTTAATTTGTATTTGAAATGTGAAAAAAACAAGTAATAAAAATAAATAAATATACAAATACATACAAATGAAAATAAACTATCTGTTCTTGAGATGACAACAGGAGAGCAAATTTGCTAGAATAAACAAATAATAGAGAGAAAAATGTCAACAATAAAGGTTGAAAACAAAGAAAACATCCAAAGAATGGAAAAGATGTTATTCAAAAACAATTAAAGAAATGCAAACAAAGGAAAAATAGAATCAGATATGTTAATAATGGCCCCCCGTCTCTCTATTCTCTCTCTCTCTCTCTCTCTCTCTCTCTCTCTCTCTCTCTCTCTCTCTCTCTCTCTCTCTCTCTCTCTCTCTCTCTCTCTTTCTCTCATTCTCTCTCTCTCTCTCTCTCTCTCTCTCTCTCCTCTCTCTCTCTCTCTCTCTCTCTCTCTCTCTCTCTCTCTCTCTCTCTCTCTCTCTCTCTCTCTCTCTCTCTCCCTTTCTAATAAATAACGAAAAGCACTATAGAAAGGCAATAGAAATGAATGTAAAATTAATGGAATAAGAAAAATGATGAAAAGGGCGAATGCAAATATTTCAGGAACGAGAGAAAGGCAGAATAGAAAGTCCAACTTAAAAAATATATATATATAATAAAACTAAGGTACAAAGAAAAATATAAAGATTAATACAAATAGGAAAAAGAAACAGAAAACAACAAAAGGAAGCAGATAAAAAAAATGGTCAGTGTAGGAATGATAAAGAGAAGAGCTAAAAAATATCAAAACTTACGATTGAAATGACAAAATAAAATGATCCGCTAAAATTATGTGAAACAAGGACAAGAAAAGAAAAGGGGAAGAAAGGGGTCAAATATATATATATATATATATATATATATATATATATATATATATATATATATATATATATATATATATATATAAATATATATATATATATACATATATAATATATATATATATATATATATATATATATATATATATATATATATATAATATATATATATATATATATATATATATATATATATATATATATATATATATATATATATATATATATATATATATATATATATATATATATATGCATATATATATATATATATATATATATATATATATATATATATATATATATATATATATATATATATATATATTATATATATATATATATATGCATATATATATATATATATTATATATATATATATATATATAATATATATATATATATGAATGACTAAGGAAATATATGATACAATTTCCTAAGAATGGAGAGAGAAAATGAATGAGAGGAAGAGCTAAGAAATAGGCCTAGTAATTGTGAATGAAAAGAGAATAAGAAGTAAATGAATTATTAAAAAAAAAAATGGTATTATGGGAAAGGAACATGATAAGAACATCAGACACGAAACAGGATAAATGAGGATCAGAAACAGGAAAATCCGCCATCAGATATTTTCTAAAAGCCTTACGGGACCCCCACCCCATTGGACATTCTCTCCTTCTTTTCTCACACACGCATAAAAACGTCAAAGGAAGAGAAAGGAGAGAGCGAGGAAGAGAAAATAAGTAGAGAGAAGAAATAAACAGGGCGTGAAAATATATTTGGACGGAAAAAAGAGTTAACGGGAACAGAAAGAAAACTAGGTGTGCGAGGCAAGAAAGAAAGAAAATAAAACTGAGAATAGAGAAATACAAGAAGGAAATCAGAAAGAGCAAAAGAAATTCCATGTGCATAAAGACGCAAAATGACAAAAATAACGGTAAAGATTTCTGATTAAATGGACAATAATATGGCACGGACCAAGAGAGAGAACAAATGAAATCAAATAAATAACAAAGAAGGAAAAATAAAGCAAAAAAGAGAGGAGATAAAAATTAGATGATGAAAAGTTTAAGGAAAAAAGATAAGAAAAATTAAATGTAAAATATATCAAGGGAAGGAAATGGAAAGAAAGAGAACCGCCTTGAAACAAAGATGAAAAACATCTAGAATATAATGAGGGAAAGGGAATGAAAAAAACATGATTTCTTCAGGAAACGAAGCAAATAGTAAATAAACAAAACCAATATTGCATTAGGAATCGGTCCTGGCGTCCCCGGCCAGAAACCTGCGACTGCCAGGCGTGCCACCGAGTGAGGGAATCTCCTTGGGCTCTTCTGCGGAATCTGATCTCCCTTACTCCGTCTTTCAGGAGTATTTCTACATCAGCGTGTCCATGTTTGCGTGCTTTCCATTCGTGATTTGTGAAAGGTATCACAGCCTAAACAGGATTCATTACAGAAAATACAAGGAAAAGCGATGTTTGAAACAGGGTCAAGATATATAGATTTCCCGACAGAAACTTCTTACTGCTTGCTTCTGCTATATTCATTAGTGAACATTTTCGAGCTAAATTACCCATGTTTTACTGAAGTTTAGACCAGCGGAATTCTGGACTCATACAGGAATGCCATGTAAGATTTAACATTGCATGAATACTGCGGTAGTGTTTGAAAATGGAAAATCTGAACTAAGATAATTGAGCGAAATTTAATTCAAAACGCTACAAATGAACAAACACACACAAGAAAATAGACTGCCGCCACATTCTTCCGACAAACGATTGAACATTTCCGGCAAAATTGACTTCTTACTTGAGAGTGGCTTTAGGCCTACACTGATGCGAGCTGTCTTGACGTGACATGGGGTCTGTGCAAGCACATGTCATGGCACTCTTTACAACATGGTCCAGAATTGCGGTAGCTCGCCCAGTAGCCCTTACGCCCACATTTGCTGCAGAGGGACAGGTAGCTGGGCATTCGCCAGCGACTACTGCCGGCCGCACGTCTTGCAACGAGGAGTTGCAGGTGAGGCGAGGAGCGGCAACGCGGGCGCGTGCCAGGCAACTGTCCATTTTCTTTCATTCTCGGTGGTCCGCCGTGTGCCCTCGTGCTGAACCTAGTTTGCATGGCATTGGCAATGGCTATGGCTGAAAGGCTGTTGCTATGAACCTATCCTTAGGTCCTACCTCTACGGAATTTCCATTCGGGGAATGCAGCCTATTTGGACAACTGACTTTAATGATAATTCTGTGAATACTGGGAATATGGTGTACACATCGGGTTGTGCGACATGTCGAAGCGAGACCTTTACGGAAGAACTGAACGACATCCCGAAAATATACAAGAACAAGCTGTAGAGTTTATTCATGCTAATTAATAAGAATGAAGACATAATGGAAACATATATCAGTAATCTTGTACGTGAATTAGACGAGATTTGTATTACATTCCTTTACGATATGGAACTCAACATGTCGCTCAGATCATTACTAAATGTTTAAAGATCAAATCGTGAAAAAATCAACGCGGCTTTTGGTAGAAATGTAATATCTTTATACCTGGGATCCCTTTCTTGTGGTAATTTATACAATGAATCAAACTTATGGTTCCGAGAATATATGCATCGTGCTCTTGTAAATAAATAAAATATCAGCCAATTAAAATGTTCGAAGTTCCACTCTCTAGTAGTAAACCTCAATTAGGTATTTGGATGGTAAAACCACTCTTTTGACTAGTGTGCTGCGGCATTCATTTTTCGATACAAAACACTAGTAAAGAATTATTCGCTGTGTTTATATGCTAAAGACGTTCTTTAAGAAACAGATCGATAAATGAAAGACCTATTTGGAATAATGTATGTGTAAGTGAAGGTGTATATATATATATAATATATATATATATATATATATATATATATATATATATATATATATATATATATATATATATATATATATATATATATATATATATATATATATATATATATATATTATATATATATATATATATATATATTATATATATATATTATATATATATATATATATAATATATATATATATATATATATATATATATATATATAATATATATATATATATATATATATATATATATATATATATATATATATATATATATGTATTTATATATACATATATATATATATATATATATATATATATATATATATATATATATATATATATATATATATATATAATATATATATATATGCTATATATATATATATATATATATTATATATATATATATATTATATAATATATATATATATATATATATACATATATATATATACATATACATAATATATATATATATATATATATATATATATATATATATAATATATATATATATATATATAATATATATATATATATATATATATATATATACATATACATATACATATATATATATATATATATATAAATATATACATATAATATATATATAATATATATATATATATTATATATATATATAAATATATATATATATATATATATATATATATATATATATATATATATATATATATATATATATATATATATATTAGTATATCATATATATATATATATATATATATATATATATATATATATATATATATACATATATATATATATATATATATATATATATATATGTATATATATATATATATATATATATGTATATATATATATATATATATATACGACATATAGCATGTATATACACATACATATATATACATATACATATATACACACATACATGCACACACACACATACATATGATTAGTTATGGTAGCTTCTAAATGTAATGTTCTCTCTTGCACATAAGGTATAATTAAAAGCACA